GGGATTTGGGGGATTTCGGGGTGTCCTGGGGCTGGGCTGGGTGATCCGGGCGGGTTTCTCCAGCTCAGGAGGTCCCACAACTCTCCGAGGGGGCTGAGCTCGAGCAGAGCAGCGGCCCCACATCCTGTGGAACTCACACCTCGCCCCCAACAACCGAAAACCCAAATTTTGTCAAGTTTTTGCAGTGGAAATGGGGGCTGGGGCTGTCCCTGTTCCAAAACCCGGGAGATTTTGGGGTCACCAGCAGGGAATTGTAAAATACCCCAAAATATCCTGGTCTGGGGCACGGAATCGTGGGACGTGAGGTGGGAGGACCCACCGGGATCATCCAAGTCCCATCCACGGCTCTGCCGAAATTAAAACCGACCAAACCAACCCAAAATGGTTCCAAAGCCCCTCCTGGGCCGGGATGGATTTGGGGAGCTGGGACAGCTCAGAAGACCCCAAAATCCCTCCTGGGAACACAACCCAGGCTCAGGAAGGCCGGGCTCAACCCAAACCTGACTTAACCACCAGAAGAAACCCTGCAGCGACTTCCCTGAGCTGCCCCCGCTGCCTCCCGCCCCTTCCTCTTCCTCGTGCTCCTCATCCTCGCTCCGGCCCCACGCCCGCGGCGCCCCCGGCCCCACTCACCGGCCCCGGAGCAGAGCAGGGCGAGGCAGAGCCCCCCGAAGCCCCTCGGGCCCATCCCGCCGCGCCCCATCCCCGCCCCGGCCCCTCGGGGCCTCCTCCCTGCCTTCCTTCCCCTTTCCACGCGCAGGAAGCGGCCGCCGGGCAGCCAAGGTGGTGAAACCGGGCCAGGAACGGCTCCAAATCGTCCACGAGGTCGTTTCTCCACCCCACCGATCATCTCTCCACCCCACCGATCATCTCTCCACCCCACGGATCATCTCTCCACCCCATGGATCATCTCTCCAATCCATGGGTTCATTTCTCCACCCCATGGAATTATCTCTCCACCCCATGGGTTCATCTCTCCACCCCATGGATCATCTCTCCAATCCATGGAATTATCTCTCCAATCCATGGGTTCATCTCTCCAATCCATGGGTCCATCTCTCCACCCCATGGGTTCATCTCTCCACCCCACAGATCATCTCTCCACCCCATGGAATTATCTCTCC